CCGCCTTACTCCTTTAAACTAAATTTCATCAAAATCGGACAACAAATACTCATCTTATCTTTTACTGTCGGTTTGTCCCATATTTTTTTTTTTATTTGATGCCCTATCAAATAAAAAAAACAACATAACAATCAAGAGTTTAGTCAAAGTCGTTTGAGAGTTTTTCATGAATAATTCGATATTTCCATTATTTTATGGTTTTTATTAGAAAATCATAATTCAAAAATTCATAGACTATTAGGTGCATACAGAATTTTGATAAAATCAGACCACAAGTGTAGTGAGACAAAAATTCGAACCCCACTTTTTTGTGTGGGGGGACCCAGTGTAACTTTCCACGCACAGAAAAACTCAAAAACAATACGTTCTACAGTTTCTATGTTTAGGGGAAGAAAGGGTATTTTACGTATTATACCAACCAAACCTAATCGTTATAAATTTACCTAACCTAACCTAAGGGTGGACTATGTTTTAGGTTAGGTTAGGTTAGGAAGATTTTGTTGTAAACTAATTAAAATGTTATTTGGAAGTCGATTTATCGGTGTGGTCGGTGTAATATGAAAGTACCAGAGGAAAGTATAAGTCCCTGTGAGCGTTTACAACATGTAATATCACTCTGGTAATAGTTTACCAGTCGATGACAATGCAGATGTTGGCTTGGCGTGCAGACGACGGCGGCACTGCAGTGATGTTGCGTGGGAGCGACGTACTCGGACTCGGACCGTCTTGGACTCCCGCCAAATGATCGTCTTGGCTAGTCTCGCAGACCATCCGGCGCCAACGCGATATTCTCGGCCGCCACTGTCAAGAAAAACATTGTAAAATACTACTGGTTTTACGGCCGAGCTACGTGATATTTCGTTTGGTTTAGTTTTTGGATGTGAAAGTGTAGAGGTTTCATCGTTATATCCATCGGAAAGGTTGTGAGATTTGGTTTTGTGGTTACAGTTGAAAAGAATTTTTGTCTTAAACTGGGTTCAAATTTTTATCAGCCCAAATACGGTTCAATTACCAAAATGGGCACCATATTCCTTCACCTACAGAGAAGAATTATTTTCAATAAAACCTCAAAAATGATTTTACCAACCCTTAAGTGATGAAAACTCGGCAATCTATAGTTCGGCCGCTTAAAAAAGCGACCTCCTATAGCATTGGTTAGCATTAGCGCGCAGGTCACTTTCTAAGAGGCCGTTTATGTACTGGTCTTCTTCTGTAAACTAAAAAAAATAGTGTTGTAGCTAATTGTTGTTTTAAAATATTATCGCTGATATTTTTCTTCTATTTCTAGTTGAATAAAACTATGTTCTACAACGGTTATGAGTCTTTAGTTTGATCCTCTCAGTTGGAGGGGAGGGAGGGAGGGAAATACCTAAATCATAACATCAGCTAGATGTTATATAACATCTTTATCTGTCTAATATGTGCAATCTATATATTAATAGGCACGCATGTTTCTGTGAAACCACGTCTTAGCTCGTGTGCATCACAGGAAAAATCTACGCATACTGTTAGAAAGATTTTTTCCTGTAGATGTTTAGAATCCCTTTATAAATTAAAAGAGTTTTAAAAATAACCATACAAAATGAATTTTAATGTTTTTTTATCAACATGGGCCTTATGGGTTGCCATGCTGGTAAAGAGATTTTTTTAGAGAGAGGAGGGACATTGCTATTTGTTGTAATTTCATCACCTGTGAATAAAAGGTGATTAACTAACAACGAAATATAGACAGAAAATGGAAAAGAACAAATGGAAGAAATGTAAATCACATGTTTTATTTACGGTGTGAGTTGAAAATAGAGAAGTTGGTACATTACATGTTTTTGGTCGAGTTTTCGACCACTGGACGACCTGTAGTTCAATTAGATGTAAATACAATACCAATGTTGACACAGTTGTAAATATATAAATTCAGCCATGTTAAAACACTGGACATTTACCCTTTACCGCATCCTGGGTGGATGCAACACGTTGGTTCTCGCTCATCTTCCAAGGAGAACATTTAAAAAGTCCTCGAGCCTCATCACATGCAAAGGGTCGTCGAGACTAGTAAAAACAATTAGTTGTGGGTCCTCGACGTAATTGAGAACCTCGTAAGGGGTGATGGTAAGGGGGGAGGGGGGAGGCACTTGTTTAAACTGACTAAAGAAGGGCTGTTGTGAGGAGAGTCAAAGAGGGCCTTCCGGCGACGAGCTTTGACGGTTTTCAACATGAGGAACACATTTTGTCAACGTCCCCTGGACACAACCGTAAAGTAATCGTGTTTCGGTGGAGATTATAAACGGAGTGTAATTTTAAATTAATTTAAGTAGTTTTCATAATTTGTTTTGTTTGGGTATTATTTATCGATTTGTGTCATCGAAGTAGTTTTTTGTCAAGAAAAACGATTTATGGTATTTTTTACTTTATATTTTATAAATAGAATATATGTAAAATCTGAAGCAATTGCCTATTTGCCCTGCAATATGTAAATATAACAAGAGGTTCTTCCATAGAGTAATCATTGTTGTTCACAACATGTTTACACAGAGATATTTTTGAATTATTGTATTATTTTGTAATAAGACCATCCTTAGGCGATTTATGTTTATGGACAATTTCAAACTGATTTTCAGATAGAAGAAAATAATAATAATCTAATGTAGTCGTAACATTTTTCACGACAAAAATATTCTACATGAAGTAAGAAATCGTACTCAAAAGGGGTACAGTATTACTGTTCTATTGAGTAACATATTTTTGACACACATTAGAATACTGCCTAAGTTTATTTTAGGTATTTAGAGTTTGCTCTAAGGGTGTTTATCACTATCGTTTTTTAGAGTTGGGTGAACGAAATTCTATGTATATATGAGTGTACATGAGATGATGGAGTGCTTGTTATATATAACAAAGTGGTAGAGGCTTGTATGGTTTGTTACCAACCTAACATGGGGTTTACTTTTGAACCATTTTATGATTTTCTTTACATTTGGCTATAATACGTTTATGATATTTGAAAAAAAATCATAGTCGAATATTTTAGTTTTAAGTTTTGTACCTGAATCCAAAATGTTAACCTATTCAAAGAGGAGACATAACATATTCCCAGATATATTTTACTGAGGGAGAGTGGGGGCTTTTATTGATCTATTCAGTTGCAAATATATACATCCACCAATACAGTCCCTGGTTGGGATACATTGTTGCACCGGCTTGCGCGGGTGTAACGCTAAGGCGGAGCGGCGGAGCAGAGTAGTTTATAGGGGATATAAATTTATGATTGTTCGTGAGCAAGATGCAACATAACTTGTTTAAGGTCGTGAGCAAAAAAACAAAACAAGCTCCACTGACCTTTCTTGGCAATTGTGAAGAGAAATGTGAATTGAACAATGGAACAAAAACTACCTCTTAAGTATCGCTATTTATTGTTTGGTTATACGACGTAGGCGATTCTTATCCGTTTATATTTTTACGTTTATGGATTTTGGCTTTAAATCAATACCCTAAACTGATGTCCACCTAAACAGCTGGAATATTATTTTGCCTGAAACTAGGGTTGCCTCCTAATACATTCAGAACTACCAGTCTAAATAATCTCCTAAGAAATATAAAGGCTGGGCTAATATTTATATAAAGTTATCTGTTCGAAAATTAACTCTATACTTTATAGTACTAAAATGAACTTAGATTTGTGGGCCTCTTCTATTCAATAATCTTGGATGAATAAACATAAGAGTGTTCAAACCTTCTTGGGATACTCGATTTAGGCTCTACTAACTTTGGTACTCAGTGATAAATATTTATTAATCTCAGTTATTTAATGTGTTTGACAGTTGTTTTAATGTGATCCATGTGGATGACAAAAGTACGGTGTTTTATTTGATATAAAGGCTTTGAAACTTCGTAGGATTTAAATGATTTCGTCACCTAAAATAGTGTACATAGGCCTTCACTTAGTGTACATGGTGAGGTAAATGACGGTTACTGCCGCGGATGCAGCCCAGACATTGTTTTTCACTTTCTGAGCCACTAAATACGTCAACGAGTTGTACCGTGGCATTCCTGTGTCTCGCCATTAAGTTGCTCAAGTTTAATTTGTTGTGTTAAAGATAGTTTAAGATTGTAAAATTGTTTTTACTACCAAGCGTGGTTAAAAACCAATAATTGACAATGATTGTACTCGCAAATGTCAAAACTGTTCAAATAAACAATAATTTACTGTGATTTGATTAACAAGGTTTGTTTAATTAATTATACTTATTGTTTATAGCATGGTTCAATGTTAGCTGTAATTATATGTATAATTAAAGTACTCCTGGTCGTATATCTTTGTACTTAAGTATATCTTAATGTTTTCGGGTAAACATTTTGAACTAAAACCTCATGTTGTGTAATGAAACTTGTTAGTATGTAGTAGTATGCTCAAATAAATTAAGTGTTAAGACTTTATGTAATGATTCCAACAGTTCAACCTATCATAGGCTACATAATTTGAAAACGGGATTTATGATGAAAAATATAGAACATATATTTGGAGGACTTTTTTCATATAATTTTCTTGAATAAAAAAAATTACACAATTGAACACGACGCTTTATGTTCAACAATGTGCTTTCTCAACTGCATCCCCCCACTATAACAAACATTATTTCGATTCAATTAGTTCCCTTATAAAAAATACAACAATTCTTTTAGCTTTCCGGACTCAATGTTTTCCCGGGTGTCAAACTGAGAGAAATCACCGCGACACATCGTCATGTGACAAGTCGGGTCGCTACGGACGGTCAATGTGGCAGAATGATTCGATTTGTATAACCGCCCGGCGAAGAATTAATTATTGGCTCTCTTAGCGGCTCGGGTCGTTTAATTCGATGACGCATAAGCCACACTGGTGAACATTTTTCTCCCACTGGCGATGAGCCGCCCTTCGGCCCCCACCGAGCGTCGCCAACGATCGGTGCCGAACATCGCCGAGAACGCCCGACGCCCGCCGACACCTAGCTGTTAGTTTCCCAGTCCGATCACTGTTCAGTTTAGTAGAGATTTTTGTGCTTACTTGGTTGGCTGCTCGCGTTTTGTTCTTCCACAGAAATTTTGAGACTCTTTTTCTCTCCTGTGTCCAGTGTTCAGTGCCTATTGTTTTTTGTGTGCACTATTTTGCGTTTTGTGGAAGAGATTCGCTTCGTCTCCCCCACGCCCAGACGAGCTACTTTACAGGTTAGTGTTACGTAGTGTACGTGTGCACGTGTAGTTGTCGTGTACAGTAGTTGTACATCACATTTTACGTGTACACAATGACGTGTACGAGTCTGTACAGTGTACACCGACTGTTGGAGTATCGATTGGCCAAAGCTGCCGTGTCCTTCACCAGGTCAATCGCCTTATCTGTTGAGGTTATGTTGTGCTGCGCGTTATCACACGCCCACATACACGCGTGTACGGCCGTATTGATTGTGTTGTGTGTGTGCGTGGTTTGGCATAATAGTGTAAATATGTTGTAATCATTGATAATTTTACTATAAAGGTATAAGTATTTTAATAAATTTAAGTAAATTTAATCGGCAAATTTGATTAATTATTAGTGGTTATTAAGAATTTCCGAAGCTAAAGTATATACCGGCTCAATTACGTTAATTATTTTCCAATCAACTATATTATATCATGCTCGCAATTTCATTGAAAAGTATTAAGTATTAAAGAATTGAATATAACTAGCTTTCATTAGATAGATTCCTGTTTTTTTTCATGTCGTTTTCTTATTACGCATCATTTTAATAGAGTTTTACTAATGCAATCAATTTTTAATCATCCATCAGTGACTGCGCACAATTGCTGACAAAGAAACATTCTTAAATATTAGAAAGTGTAATAACATGCTCAAGAAAAACAACATTTTCAATGTACTTTATGAAATTATCTTTTTAATTTCTTTGCTATGGAGGTGATAGTAGTTTTTGGTATTGTATTCCGTGTACGAATAATGGAAAAGTATTTCATAAGTTTTTCATAAGATGTGTGTTTTAATATTTTTCAGCTCTTTCATATTGATTCAAAATTCTATATATATTTTTTCATGATTTATTTTTTGCCAGATGGATTGACTTCTAAAATCAGTTGTTGTATTAATAGTCAAAGGTATCACAAATGGGAGAAACTGCTATTTATTAACACATTATTTCTATTTCGATTAATAGTGGGCCATTCAATCCTCAAATGGAGTTAAACAAATTTCAAAATGGTTATATTCTATAATATCATGTATAGACCTGTCTGCACATAAGAGTGGCCAATGATCATTCTCCGAACTGAAATTAAATAAAGTGTAGTTATATTTCAATGATTTAAGCTGCATGTTAAATGTATAAATCAAATCAGCCAATCCCTGATGAACGGAAGGATTTATAAATTAACCCGTCGTTTAATGAACTTACGACCTCACTTGTATGAAGATCTGTTTATAACTTCTGTATTTACGGTAAGAAGACCTAGTTTAACATTCCGTTTAGAACTCATACTATTGCATTTCTTAAATTTGAATTAAGAGAACTACATTTTATTTACGTTGAGCAAGTGCAATTGTCTCTTATAAATATATAAATATCACATTATATAAATCCTATAATCTATAGTTAAGAAAACTTAGCGGTTATTCAAACAAAGCTTTGAAATTTAATTGGCGACATTTTTGGAAGGGTAGGTAAACGATTTGTCTATAGAAATAATTTGTATTATAAATTAACTTCTTCAAAAGTATCGCAAAAGTAGTGGTACTTTTTGAATAGTATTTATACTACTGCTAACATGGCGAGTTACATTAAAATCATCAATCTTATGAAAAAGGTCTACTGAAGGGAAAAGGGGATTCGTGTTTACTTTCGTTGTTACCAAACATCTCTGATTACTATTATTTATACATGTTGCTAGGAGGGATTACTCACGAGGTACTACCGAATAATGTCAGCTGATTCAGAAGCTAGGGATATTAATTGATTGCTCAATGATCGACGTCAGAAGGTTTGTATACAACTTTCAATGAGTTCTGACCTCACGACTGAATCGACCAACTTGGTTTCCCAAAGACCATTAATTCTGGTCCAAATACATAAATTATGACAGTATTCATGACATAAAGCCACGATCCGTTTTGGCATTGTACTATATCAGATGTATTATATTTATAGACACATTACAATTTACAAATATCCAAACTTATTAACTTATTAGACATTTGTAATAGTGGAAATTGAACGCGTTTTAATTAAATACATATTGAAGAATGGATATTCAACTTACACTATGATTCATGAAAACATTATTTAAACAAATCATGGCATATTTTATGAACCTAAAACATTTTTTACCGTATGAATTATAATCCATACATATAAATATAATTGTTACCGGTATTTGAAACATCGTGTTTCTTCACCAACAAAACAAACCCAATATAGTTTTCAATAATATTTCGAATAACTTTTTTGGTACATTACAATTTTAAAAATGCCCCATGAATTTTAAACTGAAGCCAATATCATGATTTTGCAATTTGGTGTTTCGGAAATTGATGAAATTTATGTTTAACAATGTTTTAAGGAGATATCGGCTGGTATATCATTTTAATACCAATTTAGGATTAAACAGCCACAACTAACTACATTGCGACTGAAGTCACGATTACAAATCACAATTTACGGATGTATAATTATTATAAATTTTTAATTGATACCCATTTGCAGTGGCGAGATATTTGGTTGGTCGCGGCAACAATGTACACAGTCGGATCGTTTGATCCGCGGCTATTTCTCTCAGCCACATATGCTGGACCTAGGCCAAACACTGCAAAGACAGTCTGTTGTATGTTTGGTGTCTTCGGTATGCTCTCGCCCACTCTTACTTTTACTCATATCAACGTTTTTCCGACGTTTGGGGGATCTTTAGAAACAATATTGCAAACTGATAGTTTGGTGTTTATGCTCCAGCCCACAAAAGAAAATTTAAGATACATCTATGTTCTTAAACGTTGAAAAATAATTATGTTTGAGTCAAGGGTATTTTTAATTGCGATTTTACTTTCAGATTAAACATTTAGTTTTCTTGTTCAAATCATGTTTGAAAATGTTTAAAGCACATTTAAAAAATATGGTTTATGCGGATACGTTAAAGCACAGACTAGGGAGTCTGTATAAAAGCTTTGTTTCAAGTTTCGGGATAAAAATGCCACAAAATAAATTAGGAGTGTTAAGAACTTTGTACAAATAAAAACAATTAAAATAACATTCCTCCCATGAACAGTAAAACCAACAAACCTATGTTATAGGTAACTAATAACGGATTTAATAAATATCTCCGTTCTATCTGCTATATATCTTGCGGTCCGATCTAATAACCATAATCGCACGTTGAACTCGAATATGGACTTTAAAATGCATCTCCAGAATTTTTCTTAAGCAAATTGGCCAAATGAAATAAATTAAAACCCTAAAAACTCAATTAAAAACTAGTATGACTATTGAATGTTTTAAATAAATTAAAAAGTGAAATGATACTTAGTATAAACATGGCTTCTTTGAAAACAGCTGACTTTAACGCCTTTGTTTGGCAGGGCAGCGTCAAGTGGAACTCTTGTTCATTTCAAATCATTTCAGTCCTTTTCTTCTCTAACTTCAAGAGTTTTCTGCAGACTCCAACCTTTCACAGAATTTATTTCCGGATTGAAAATAAAATTGAATACAATTTAAACCACTCCATATTTTTTTTGCTAGGGAACGAGTGATAGAGTATGTGTTTCTCACGTTATTTGGTTTGTTAAAACTATTTAACGGTAATTGAACTTAAGATTCTTAAATATATGAATATTGTATTTATTGTTGAAAATAATGGAAACAGCAGGATTATTTTCCAAAAAGATATTGAAAATTAATTCACATGAATATAAAATGAAATTAATCCTTAAGAAAGGCAACGTTAGGGCCACAGTACTCTTTCCCACACAAATATACTAAAATGCAATAAAAAAACTACAGAAATACATTTGTTTACTAAACTGAAGCTTTAACTTACTATTTAAGTTAGGTATACTAAATTAGAATTTGAATATCACAGAAAGTTTTTGATCTCAATTTATGTGTCAGTTTTCAAAACGTTATCATTAAATTTTCGAGTAAAGAAACCTTAAATAAATAGCATCAGAAGAGCTTACGGGTTGATAGAGAGTTTTTGATTTGTTATATAAATTACTTTGTATGTATTAAACAACTAACGCTTTAAGATTATAACTATTTAGCTGCCAAGCAATCTTCTACGTTCACAACATAGCTTGTTGCATGGTTTCTAACCACCCCGCTCGGATCCATATTACGAGCGTTTTCAAAACTGATCTCAAACGCAGCAAACCGCATTACCCGGTCAAATCGAGTTATTCCTCCCCCTTCCCCCGGCAAATGGGAAACCGTGTGTGACACGGCCTAAGCATCAAATTAGATTGCCTAAGTGGTGGGAGAGTTGGATCTGAGCAGCTGACTTTGATAGTAGAAAACTCGGCAATCTCCACAATCTGCAGTATGGAAGTGTCCTAAATGGCTGTAAGAAGAAATATGAGTAGTCATACCACAGACAATAGAGTAAAACACCATATCGTCTGTGGTCATACATTGTAATTTGGTTTACAGCTGAATCTGGGAAAATCGTACTTTTTATACAAATATCACACGAATTCAACCCTTATTCCGGAGATGCTTTTTTATAAGATGAGGGTGGTGTATTTCAAACTTTGACGTAGAATGGAAATGTCAAGGATTGTGCTTAAGCCGGGTGGTTTGAGTTTTCATCTTGGAATACGTAGATATACCGTTCAAACCTGAGAGAAGTTCAATTTTTGGTTAGTTTAATCAGTTCGAATCTGATTACAGCTGTACTCGCAATCATTAAGAATATAACCAGCTCATTTTGTCCAACCCGAAACTATTATTATATTCGGATGAAATTCTATCCACCATAAATTTTCGCTGTAAACAATAGTAACCCAGCCGGTTTTTAACGGTGTATGTTCTTTAGTTAACGAATATTACATAGGTTTATTTCAAACTAAAGTAATGAGGAAACGAAGAAGTGGGGTTAAAGGTTATTTTTGAGTACCTAAACAAGAGTAGAGAATTCTGCTATTCCTAGAATCCATTAATTTTATGTTTTAGGTTTTAAATTTTAATATTTAATTCCAT